TAAACAATATCACATCGTGTCGTGTCGGCGGTTTACCCGCTTGTAAGCAGTATGTTGAAGCTTATTGCGATTTTTATCAAACAAGGCGGCTTCTGTAAAATATGACTGTGCGTCTGTGCCCCGGGTCATATAAAAATTATATTATATATTTTATAAGAAAAATTACCCAACTCGCATACCGTATACGTGTATAATAAGCGGTGTCTCAATAGTTTAGAATAATAAAATTATTCCCAAACACTTTTATTTTGATTGTGTCATATATTTTACGCATACCATTGCGGTACCTATATAATATAATAACCGTTGCCGAAATATCGAGTCTCCGCAGTAGAAGTTAATTTAGTGCGGCTATTAATTTTGACGGTCCATTTCATATTATACATGTGGTCATCTACCTAGCCGTCTGGCGGTGAACGAATGTAGATTGTATACGTCTCATGTTTCTATTGCATCTCGATCGAATGGGGTTTCGTGAAATCCACATCAGACCACATGGATACTTGCGAAGGTGTTATACCTACTACGCAAGTCTCCGTATGCTGTGTCGAGATGCGTCTCTCATAATGTTAAAACGCGACACCGCGAATTTTTGTAACGCAACTTTTGTCGTAATATTATTAGATACGTATAAGAATAATATCTAATAATATTACGACAAAATGACGCCAAACATCTCTACAACACAATGTATTATATACGTAGAATGTGCTTACTGAAGTTGTACCACCTACCTACCACTATCCGCTAGCACACTATTCGGGTCGTTAAACCTATTTCGGATCGTAATGATTAAACAGGTTTCCAAAAGCTATTATATATTTTATTATTTCAAACTTAGATAATATTCTAATTTTATTATTCAAAATGTAAATGATTAGGTACATATTATTATTATTATTATTATTACTATTATGAAATTCCAATAGTACCTAGTAGATTAAAGAAACCTTTTAGTGAGGAACTCAAGAATGTCACTTGTACCTACTTATTTTTGGTAAAAATAAAAAACCATGGACGACGTATTACAAAGAGTACCTAACGTCGTCTTACAACTTGTAATTTCACAATTCAAGGTAATCTTCTATATATTCAAAATAATTAAGTAAAAAATACTTTTTAAATGTTCTATTTTCTTAATGGATATTTAAATATATGATGACAATTGACAACCATATAAATTATAAAAATTGAAATATATAATCACATCAATCATCATCAACTTTAATGACTTATTTTTTTGTACACACTATTTTCTAATATTCATCATATTTTAAGTGCGTTTAAGCTCACGCACTATATTTTCTACAATGGCACAATAATACACATTCTTAACATTTTAATTATACTTATAATCAAATTTTTTATAGTAATTTTTTAAATATTTATTAGTTCATTGCAACACTATTTTAGAAAATATTGTAAGATAATAATAATTATATTTTTGGTTTTTTTTCCTTTTATATTTCCAAATAGTTTAACCTATTAATGATATGGTTTTTTATTTTAAATAAAAAGTATATTATGACTCTTTAGATATAAGTGAATTTATATGCAAATTAATTGAAATATAATATGGTAAATAGTAGATACATTATAAATATAAATTACTTTCACAATATGTCATTATATTTAGATAGAATAATTACTAATTACAAATTTACTTAATTACAAATTTTCTATAAATCAATGATGTAGGTAATAATTGTCTTGGAAAATTAATCATCACGCTATGTGACAAGTAGGATATGTAGGAAGGTATTATATTATAGAGAGGTAGTAGGTTTTTGTAGATTTTATTTTAATTACTATTAGTAGGTACGAGAAGATACCTACTTTTGATATTTAAGAGATTTCAATCATCAAAAACCACGTCATATTATAATATAACCGTGAAACCACTGACACTTGTGTACTCTGACGCACGCTGTAGGTATAATGCAAACTGCAGCATAAATATTATACTTAACACGTGTATGTGTGTTTGTATATGATGTGTAGGTACTAAGGATATATTATATGTATGTATATTGTATGTATAATTATGTATGTAAGTATGTATTTAGATATGCATATATAAGTACGTATGTGTGTATAGGTATGTCGTGTGCACCGGCGACAAGGCCTCCGCAGAGGCTAAAAGATCACTATGCCAATCAAGTGACATTATTTTTTCTTCTCCTGTGCGTGTGTTCCAACTTCGGGAAACGGACGGCCGCCAATGTGAGAGCATCCGGTCGGCGATGCATCATGATGGTTATTGCACCGCAGCGTAGGGTCCTCGGGGTTAATGAAAAACTTACATTTTGTACACAAATTGATACGCATTACGCAGTATACGTATATATGTCATTATTGTGCTCCTCTATAAAGACGTCGTCGGAATACCCACGTCATGTATATATTATGCACACACACTCGCGTGTGCAGTAGGAAATTATTTCTGTAACCGGACAACAAAAACACGTGAATTAATTTTAATAGTCCACTAATTGACCGGTGCCGAACGGATATAAGAGCTCTGGTGGATCCGCCTACGAAATAACCCGCGTTATTACGGAATATATGCGTAGGAAACGGAAGGTTGCCTCGATGTACCAATGTACCAACATATGTATAATAATATTTATAATATGTACATTAACGTGTACGATATAAATATGATATTTACATATTATTTTAGACGAGCACGATATTATAATGTTTTACGTAATAATTTACTGTCATTAATATTACATAAATTGTCAATAATATTATACTTGCTAACGATTTTGTTACTGTGATTTCTGCAGACATCGTTCGACAGTCGTGAAAAAATGTCACTCATCTCGTCAATACGACACCATAAAACCTCGTTTTCTGACGGCGATCAAGTATCAACGTGTGCAGACTTCAGGACACTGGTTATTCATGTCTAAAAAACGAGTAACGAGTACCTACCGACTTCCATTTGAACTTAAATCTAACCACTGTACTAAGTTAACCAGATTATCAGGGGCGTCATTTGGGGGGTCAGACCATGGCAAATGCCCCACTCTAAGAAATTTTAAGAAATCGGCAAATTCTTTGTCCGATGATCAAATGCTAAAATCGATAAATACTAAATTTGTATTTACTATTTTGTACTCAGAAATCAGATAATATTCTCTTTTAAATACACATTCACGGGTTTATTAAAATGTTGGGAAACACTGGCTCCTCCTTGGCTTATAGATATACAACAAATTGTTAGCTTTGATAACATTGAACTCAGATTACCGACTACCAAGTTGGATTTATAAATAATTTTTTAACTATTATACATTAGAATATCGATATTTGATTATTTTGATTCATTACTTTGTAATTAAAATATTAAATTTAAAATGAGTGAAGTTTCTACAAAGAAAAGAAAAATAATAAAAAGCCCACGAGGTTGCCTAGATAATAATCTTACCTTTAGATTTTATAAGTAGTCAATTCGCTCTAATTTTTAAGCTAACGGAGCTAACATGTGTTCTGAGTTCATGAGGGTATCGTGTCCTCTTAAATATACAAATTATAAAATTATAAGTATTTATTTAATTAGATTTATATTATTATTCTATTAAACCTATTGATAGGTAACTTATAGGATAAGTAAATAAATTAACGTTTTACTATCTTTAATGTTATTATTTAATTGGGTAAACTGAAACGTTTCATGTTCTTTGTTTATCATCATGATATCATTATTCATTACTAACTCTTATACGTTTTGTTCCGAAAAGATATTTTGTTGATGGTCCATAAATATTAAATATATAAGTAACCATAATTTTTCAAATATTATAAAGTCGGCAAATTTAATCAGCTGCCCCACCCTTTCAAAATTTGAAATGACGCCCCTACAGATTATTAATTACATCTATATAAAATTAATATAGGTGGCCTAATGACGGTGGGTATACACCGAAGCCGATTTGTCAGTGACCTGAGGCCGTACCTAAAACCGTAGCACTATAGCACCGTATTTTATGTTTGTTAATTTTTCCAGGGTCAAGTCGGGGGCTACACAATTAGTTTTGTTACATAATTCATATATATCTAATATCTATATTTGAATAAACAAAGTATATGAACACCGAATGAAGTTTATTATTACACTGGTAATCGCCAATCGCTATACATATATTATAATATACCAAAATATCCTAGGGTTAGCCTTTAGCAATTAACAGTACAGTGTAATCTCTGAATCCGACACATATTATATGGGACAAGAATAGTATCGGTTTATTGAAAAATATGGACTACCGGAAGGTGGAAATACAAAATCATAACGTACATTTCCTCAGCCCCACCCATTATTAATTTTCCAATATTTAGCACGTGATTCGCATGAATTTGTATAACCGTTTCCGAAATTTGTACGGCAACGGTTCGCCCGGAAAATTCAATTTTCCATGGGCGGGGCGGGGGAAACGTTTCTCCGGCCCCACCCAAGTGGAAAAACTACTTTCAGCAAACTTTCTACGCCAATATTTAGCAAGTGATTCGCAAGAATTTGTAGGACCATTTCCAAAATTTGTACGGCAACGGTTCGCCCTTAAAATTCAATTTTCCATGGACGGGGCGTGGGAAACTTTTCTCCAACCCCACCCAAGTGGAAAATAACAATATTAGCCTTTTTCATGTATTTGACTGACTGTTACCAAATGTATAATATATTATATAATAATAATAATATATTAATCATTTTCATTTACATATCATAAACATTTTGATGACTACAATTTTAATTTATCCCACTTGTCAACTCTTGTTCGGTGAATAGTAACAGTAACGAATCTAATCGTTCCTGTTTCATCGTACTTCTAAGTTTTGATTTTACAATTGTCATTTTGGAAAAGACTCATTCGCATGTACACAACTTGTGACTGGGATAATAGTAAATAATTGTAGGTAAGGTTTTTTAAAAACAACTGTTGGTAGAAATACTATTGTTAGTTTTCAGCCAATAAAGCCACAAATAAATGGACTCACAGTGAGTGCCACTCACTAGATGTACCATTAGGTTTATCAGATTTTGGCAAATGTTTTAAAAGGTTTATTTCAGTTTTTAGATCTGTACTTGATGTATTTGAGAACTTAGCCAAAACATCAATCATTTCAGGTTTTATTTCCATGTGTAGCAGACTAGCAATAGCTTCAATTAAGCTTAAAGTTTCTTGATTGAATCTTGAATCCATTGCCGATAATAAATCATCAAGTAGTTCATAATAAACCGATATCTTCATTTCATCTAATTTATTTTTTAAAAAAAATTGAGATTTAGATTTGTTATCAATTTGAGTCGATACTTTTCTACGAATAACGTCTGGAACAATTATTCCATGTTTTTTACATAAAGCAACTGCTTGTTCAAAAATATTTTCATTTCTCATACTTTTAAGATTTAATGTTAAAGACCGTACATCATTATCAATTGCCAACAAAAGATTTAGTTTTGGTGATTGAAGTACTGAGCTAACTTTTAAAATAAGATTTAATATTGGATGCATCATAAACATGCCAAAAATGAACTCAAATCTTTTTCTTTGGTATAAAAGACCTTTGCCTTTTGCACTCATCTCAGGATTGGTACAATTGTTACAAATGTCTTCAATTTCAAGCAGGGGCGGACTGGCTCCTTCAGAGCGGCCCGGGAATTTTTTCCAAGCGGCCCATCGCCCATAAACCATTGTCTAAGGTCTTTTTTTGTAACATCGATGGCGTTGCCGCCTGCCGGAACTACTTAAGCATTATATTGACATATTGTTTAAGGCCTAATCTAATACAGTATTACAGCACTTACGTTTGAAATACCAGACATTTTCTCAGTTGAATATTTAAATTATAATTAATTCTAACAGAAGATAAATAAAACATTTTAGAAATTTGATGGACATCAATACCCTATTACCCTATTTGCTATCAATAGGTATATTTCTTTTATATTATTAATCGGTAATCGTCAACCAGTACAAAAGTATATTTTCCTTCTGTGGCGTACAAACACTAAAAAGCTACATAGGTATCATAATTCTTTTTACTTTTTATAGTGTTAAATAAAACCATATTGAACATTTACTATTTATAATGTTTAGTTATCTATAATTTTAAATAAAACACTTAAGAGTAAAAAATATTTGAAATTTTCTATATAAACTTTAAAGTTTTTCTCTTTTTATTACTGAAGAACCTCAATATAATATAATATAACTCAATAGTAATTTATCATGTAAATAAAATTATATTTTATATTATATAGTTATGATATAAAATACATAAATTATAATTGAATAACATAAATAACAAAAAGTAGAGTTAAATTATTATTTGTTAATAATAATCTAAAAATATTACGTTTGGATGCAGAGCCTTGGTTTTTATCAGCATTTTTATTCAAATACTATAGAAAAATATAAAATATGTGGTCTTAGGGAACCGTAACAATATGAATTAAGAATAATTCAATTTAAAAACGACAACACACGGTGGGATTCAAAATTCAAATAGCTAATAGGGGATAGCCGGATAGGCCTCTAAAACTAATAATTCTATTATATTTTAAACCATTTAACCAATTTTTAATAATAATTGAATATAGATTAAAATGTATAGGCCTTATAACAATAACTTTACTTTCTTTACAATAAATTATAATAATATATTATTTAAAAACAACTAACAACAATAATACATCGAATTAATAATATATCGTTATCGTATATTATAAATTTATAAACAACACGGGGACGGCGGCCGGCAGGCGGCAGCGTAATTTCTATTTATATAAATACCTTATGTTTCGTATGTTTCTTAGAAAAGCAAAATTATATTAAGGTACAATTATTATCGTATTAACGTATTATTTATGTTATATTCTATAGATTTTAAATTTACCAAAAACTGATAAACTCTTATTATAATCAAAAGATTGTAATAAGTTACTTCTACAACCAAATTGTCCGGCCCCATAATTCGATTATTCGACCGGCCCATCGGGAAATTTCCCGATCTCCCGATCTGCCAGTCCGCCCCTGATTTCAAGAAGTAGACAGTCATAATTGTTTAATATAGCCTTGACTGCTTCGGCTCTACATGCCCAACGTGTAGTAGAACATGATTCTGATGTGTCTAAGGGTACCATTATGTCAGTACATTTTTTACTGATTGGAATTTGATTTAATTGACTTGAATCTAAATTTGGAACACATAAATAATGTTTTAGGAATTTAAATTTGGTTGATTTTTCAAGTTGTAACCTAATAAAAATGAATATAACATTTTATTTTAATATAGGTATTGAAATAAAAGGTTATTATATTCATTATTTATATTAAACAAGTAACAAAACAATTTTGCAATTGTTATAGGTAACATAATATTATACATTTTATAATCTAATAATAAAATTATTTTTTTAGAAAAAACTAACAAAAAAATGGGTAGGTACTATAAATTATAATTATAGTTTATAACACTAAAACTTTTCATTAAAAATTTAATTTTGAGTTGTTAGTTAAGTTACAATATTGAATTTATAAAATAGCTCAGAATTTAAAATATAATATTTTATAAACAATTTTAATTATTAAAGACGAACATTTACCTTCTTTTATTATTTCATTTGAGTAACATTCGTTTAAATCTAAAAAAAAAAATTACAATTTATCTGTTAAGTTTATTTAAAGTTTAATAAAAAAAGTACAACTTATATACAAAAACAAGTGAGCATTATTGCATTAAAAAACTTGTAAAGTGGTAAACAGCTTACCTGAACCTTTTTTTGGAAAAAAATCTGTTATTTGCTGACCAGCTTTTTTATTTGAATTCATTTTTAATTATTTTTACTTTTTTTCGTACATCGGTGTTGGCGACATACCGATACAGGTTGATGGATTTTTTATTACAAATGTTACGTTTAGTGAATTTTGTGGTGGAAGGATTTCCGAGTGAACTTCAAAACTAAGCTAGATAGTTTACGTCACCGGTGAGTAACAGTTTTTAAAAAACATTTTTCATAAATGTTTGTTCTAACTAGGAAATTAATTGAAAACAGTTTTTAAAACGTAGTTTATGTTACTTAGTTTTTTAAAAGGAAGGAGCTTATTTTGACGCTTTAAACTGCGCTATACTATTTATTTCAATGGCATCTATACGATGATAGGAAAAACATGTGGTAAATGTTACTTTTTTTGGAACTTAGGTGTTTGTGAGTTTTCAAAACGACGTTTACGTTACTTTTGTCTATGTTTCTTGACTGTAAATAATTTGCACATTTACGTGTTTTGACAAATTCTTTCAAAATTCTAATTTCAGCCAATCATAAAAATGTTGTGTGAAGTGTGAACAATGTTATGTTGATAAAAATATCAATTTTTTTTTTTTTAATTACACTTTAAACAACTTATATAAGGAATCTGTCATCATAATTTCAAGTATTTTAATCGATCGAAAAATTATTTATTGGCAACTATTGAAGAAAAAACTAAAAAAAATCGATGTTGTTTCATGGTTAAAGCTGTAAAAGTGTCAAAATGTTATTAAGTATAGAAAATAATAATATTAAAATATGGAAGAAATTTAAAGGATCAAAGGTCAATCGCTTTTGAGTTACACCTAAAAAACAAAATCGAAATTTTCTAAAATTGGTATTGATTTGCTCTGAATATAAAATAGCAGGAATCCACACATACTGTAGATATTATTTTGATTTCAAAACTTATATTTAGTATTGTTTTGATTTTAAATATGTTACACTAATTAGTCGTAGTATATTAAATAATCACCCAACCAATCATCCACCAACCGAATTGTGTATATTGTGTTGATGAAGCACATGTACTATAGGATTGCCGCCACTGTTACTGATAACGGATTACGAACATATCGGACTGTAATATTGTATGCCCGGATTATAAAGATTAGACTTTGTACCTACCTATATAAATCAAATTCAACCATTTATTTTTAATGATCTATATACTTACAATTTTTTTTCTATTCTTGTAATTATTATGTTTTTATTCATACTAATTATCTTGGTTTAACCCTTGATAAGAGAATGACCTGGGCCCAGCATATCAAATCCAAAAGAGTATTCTTCGAATAAACTATTACGTCTATTAAAAAATCTCATTTATAATAACAAATAAACACACACTATAGTACTAAACTGCTTATTTATAAATCCCTACTTAAGCCCATGTGGACATATGGGGATGCAACTATGGGGAAACGCAAAAAAGTCTATAATCTAAACAAAATCCAAACTTTTCAAAATATAGCACTTCGTAAATTATTAAATGCCCCCCCCTCCTACGTATCTAAACATACTAGGTATTCACTCAGATCTAAAAATACCACTAGTGCAAGATGAAGCTAAAATATATTGCGAACGTTTCCCACCTTCCCTTACTATCTCACCCCAATCTGCTTGCTAGAAATCTCCAACAATCTTCGTAGTGGTAACCCTCCAAGAAGGTTAATACGTAAATATAGTTCAGTGATTTGCTTGACATATAAAACACGTTCTAAATAAATAAGAAAAAAAATATACATGTATATTATATGTGTATAATAATATATAGGTACTACCCAACAAAAGTGTCACCAATGGGTGGCTACTGGCTGCTCTCCTCAAATGTTCTTCACTATCTATAATCTATTGTAAATTGTTCTTTTTTTTTTATTTTTTAATACCTTATATTTTGTCATTCCTGTATCGTATTTATTAATTGTGCCTTACTGTACAGATTGTAAATTTTCTTATAAAAATAAAAAAATAAATGTTTTTATTCGTAAACTAAAGTAAATCACAAAACTAGATGAATATTATAGTTTATAATTATTCTTTTTACCTACCTAACGTTGTAGGTTCATATTAAAATAATATATTTTAAATTCAGAACTGAGTGATAAAACATATACCTAATATACTTATATACGTTATACAATTATATGTTTTTTTTATCTGCATGTTATCACGTTTTTGAGAAGTAACAGTGTTTCAATCTTCAATATTTGAATGTGGTTTCCGGTAAGAAATCAGACCTAGTTACTATAGTTGGTAATTTATGATGTGAACCTCGTTAAATAATTTGGCTTCTAAACAATTAAAATTGAAAATAAAATATATAAATATCTATAACTATTAACTATATGCTGTGACGGTGTGATACTGAAAAGTAAAAATATCTATCTAAAATCTAAAACTAATTAGGTACGTAATATTACGTCATTGTTTTAATTAAAGTAAAACAAAAAGCTTATTTTTTGTCAAATTTCTAAGTAGAAGCCCTAACGACAGTAAAGAAATTTAAATGTAGGATCAGCTGCAGTTGAAATACTATAATCCTTATATGTTTATATAATATAATATAAAAGAACTGGCCTTTTTTATGTTCCCGCTTTGTGAGGATGCTATTCAACTTTTTTCAAATTTTTTTTCACATAGTTTTTCAAAATAACTTCCCGAGTGTCACCACGTCGCCCAATTGGTAAAAATGACTATAGCTATCAAACAAAAAGGAAAATACAAATTTAATTACACGTTGCTGGATAAAATGATATCAATTTATCAATTTTATCAAATTAGAGAACACAATATTATAATATTATTTATGATTATCTGTGAATACTGAATAGCGGTGCATGCACGATTAAAGTTTTGCAACTGAAGGCGAAGGCGGCCAGGCCATAGTATCAATGAAGCCTAGCCACCTAGGCTAATTGTAGATAAAAAAAATTCAGGGTGTGCTAGCTCACCCAAATGGTGCCCTGTAGGATAATACTAGTTAGTCGTATACTGCAGTTCGTAATCCGTAAAGGTATAAATAACGACGTATCTGATAGCACAGAGGTCAAGCCATTAAGCATCAAATACTGCAACTGTAGCAAATAAGTACTCCTGTTATCGGCTACCGACGTACCCGAGGATTGGGTACTACAATAATATTATATAATTGAGACCTGAGTCAGCTATTATAATATTGTATAGATACGCTTATTATTATATATAGGGACGCTCGATGCTCGGTATGTTCTCACGGCGGCTGCTATATAATATGATAAGATAATAATAATATTATATTATTGTTGTTGTTGTTGCTATATAATATTATATTATAATAATATGTACTTGCCCGGCGACGACGTCGAGGGGAAACGACGACGTACACACTCATACGCTCAACACTACTCCCCCGGTCATCATCACATATTATTATAGTTTTACATGTATATCAATATACTGCACACAAGTATAATACAGACATCAACCACGGTAAACGTATATAACAAGCGCACGCACGCACGCACGCGCACTCGTTCGCGAGCAAATTTAACATTTTACGACGACCGCGGCGGTGCACATCACGAGTAAATTATTTTTTTTTCTAAAAGCACCGACCTAGCCCCGCACAGTTTAAATTATCATAATCTCTTAACAATCCTTAATTGGACGGGACCGTTCGGGACGTCGAGAGCACCGCGCACAATACACATTCTCATACAGTCCCTTGGTCCCGTCGCGTCGTGATCTCGCGTTCGATATTATAATATATATCTAAAATTGTTGTACACGCACATTACTATTACGACACCCAAAGTCGCGTCTTGGTTTCGTGTGGTATAATATTATACGGTTTCGCCCGTTCGTCCGATACTTTCGTTTACCTACCTTTGATGTGATTTTATTTCGTCCAATTTTTAAACAGTCCATTTTTTACCCCTTACTCCGGTCAAAAATGTACCGTCTGTTTTTGGTACTGTGTTTGTGTTACGGTTTGCCGGGCTATGCGTCTTCGGAGGAAACAACCACATCAGTGTACGAACATTGCGGCAATCTGCAGCAACAGGAAAACATTCAAATTAAATTGGTACGTGTTTTAATATAATATAATATGAACAAAATATCCATTTAAAATTAAATTATTAGTAATTAGGTTTGATAAATGTTGACTTTTCTAGTTTTATTTTGATTTATGTTACCCATTAAAATGTCTGTTTCTAGTTCATAAAGTTTTAAATAGGTAGGTACACTAAAAGAGACATTAAAAGTTGTTCCTACAGCAATTAAAAAATATGGAAAATACATAAGAACAATTTTTTATGATTTTAAACATTAATCGTAAATACTTGAAACTTTTTGCCATTATATGAATTATTATTTATTAAACGCAATGTTATCCTCTAGGTACCACAAAATACACCAAAAAAGGTACATCACTAATATTCAATCTGAGAGTCGCATAATATATTTCCTATATTTTTATTAGTTTTATATCAAATTATAATTTGTCTAATATTTTTAAAAAACATTGTCTGACACTTTAAATTAGAAAAAATGTTCAAACTTTTATTTTGATGGTAGTCCCTTGTAACAAATTTAATCTATAGTTGGTATTCTGGGGGCCAAAAATCAAAATGGTATTTTTAGAGTATTTTTAGAGTATTTTTAGAGTATTTTTAAAAATAATTTGGAAAAACAATAAAACAATCTAAAAATAACTGGAATTACTACGCAAAGCCAGTTTTTGACGTTTTTGTTTCAATTCAAAAATGAATGCGGAAACTCGACAATTTTATCGAATTTTCATAAATGAAATTACTAGACATGAAATAATTTTCAAAATACTTACGCTCTTTTTTTCTATTTATAGTTATATATTTTGAACTATAGACTTTTTTTCTAATTTATTCAACGTTGGAACATTGGGTGTTTAAGAAATAGATACTTATTATGCAAAGACTCATTATTAAAGTGCAATGTATTTTTTTAAAACTATGTTACTCTATAATATTATAATGACTAGGTAATAAGTTATCGTATAATAGATAATTATTTATCACCCATCCAATCATCCACCGTGTTGCTGAAGACACGGACCATAGGATAGGCGCCACTGTCCACAGGAAACACTGAGTATAGATATATCAGCCACATTTGTTTAATTCATATATAAATTAATGAATGCTGAGCGCCTGACATAAACGACGACAAATAGTAATAAGAATGCAGTTCAATCTCGAGCTTGATAATTATAAGTTTGGTTCCGTTCACGTTTATTAACTTAAAGTGGCTACAATTAGTAAAAGTACGTGCATCTATGGCACGTTTTAAAAAGAAATTATACTATTGTTACACTTACATACGAAATACGAATAGCATCTGCCCAATGTTTTATTAAATTTAATTCTATTGTAAATAAATGATTATATACTAATACTATTCTATATCACGTCCCGGCCTATTGGGAGGTTTATACATATTGTCGAATTGAACTGAATCGGTACATCATACAAATCGTATAAAACTAATTTACACAGTTACATTCATATAGATAATAGATATAATAATGGATTCAATTAAATTGCGAAAACCTCTACGCCAGTAGCGTGGGTTTCAGCTTAGCGTATGCGTTGAAATAGTAAGATAATGGAATCGTTGGGGGCTATGCCCCCCACACCCCCTATACTGTTTTTAAAATTTTACTTTAAGCATACAAAGTTTTACGTATCCATTAATATAATATATTACATTACCTAGTACATAACAAAATATTATATTTAATAAATAAAAAGTAAATCACTTTTTAAAAATTAATGCACGTTCTAAGTTATAACTTATAATAGACTGTCAACGATAGCGTATGCAATACTGATCCCGCATACACGAGTGACGAATATACGACCATAAGCGTTCTATGTTTTGTTATGAATATTATCGATAAGAACTATAAATAACTGCAGTCGCTGAAAGTCTGTACCCGTATGCAATCGCCTACTTGCATACTGCTTACATAATAACAAGGTACTGAGGTACTACTGTAATAGCGACTATAGATCTAAGCGACTAGGACTACGCTTATTCGTAAGATTTTAGTTTTTATAAATCCATTTGCTACAATTTGTAAATTGCCAATTAATTTTAAATTAAAAAATCTAATCCATGGAGAAAAATTGACAGCATTTCAAGCGCACCCGCAGGATAAAATCCTACCTGGGGCAAGATGAAAATTACTTATAAATTATAATCTAATATCATAGTTATAGTGATATTGATATACAAGTAGGTGTACATACAGTTAAAAATGCCCCAAGCAAAGGCTTGTAGCTTTTGAACATTATATGCCATATCTAATGAATTTTATATTTTTATTCTATAGGTTAGTAGTAGTTTCAGCTTTATCATAAATTAGTTAAATTATTTATTTGCTGTATTTATGTGTCAACTCGTTTTTCGTATTAATTAATTCCTATTATCTATGTTTAGGTATAGATAATAGATATAATAGTTGCATGCAATAATATTTTAAGAACATCAGTTATTTAATTTTTAATGTATACTTACATATAAATAATAAATACCTAATTATGCAGGATAAACTATTTTAAATAACAATTAAAAAAAAAATAATAAATAACAAATTATTTAGTATTTTAGGGTTTAAGTACCTATAATATTTGAAATATTCATCAAACCAATAGATTACTAAATCTAAATATTTTTTTTTAGGATTGCTGAATTAAGCTGGCCCATAATTTAAAAATACTCTAATAATTTATGCAGATTTATTAAAATAAATATGATTTAATGGTAGGTAGGTCATAAACTTTCCAATAAAAAAATCTATTTGGTATAATTTAGGTATTAGATCCAAAGGAATTAATAAATTAATAAATTATTAATTATATATATCAATTATTCATTTATAAAAGTTAGTGATAGAGTTTAAGATAATAAGATGATTTGCATTTGGCACTAATGAGTTTATATCCAAAAAACATTATTTCTACTTCCTAGTTTATAATATTTTAAGCAATTATTAAGAGGACGCCACACCCACATGTGTTGTCTCCGTCTAACAAACATACAGAATATAGTATATTTTAAGTTCACATTAACCCATTTTACACTGTTATTTTTAAAATTAGAGTGAATTTACCTATTATCAAGTTTAAAGGTAAGATACTAAGATTATTATCTAGATGATTTTATTGATATTTTAATTAAAAAACAAGCTATAATATTTTTTAAATTCCCAGTTAAAATTCATTATTGATAACGTACAATTTGGGATGTTGTACGTTTGTAAGACAGAGACAACTCATACAAAAACATCTCTTAAAATTAAAATAACGATGTTTTTTTTTAGATCATTAAATTACTGTACTGCACATCAGTCCTTGATATAAATAGATACTAAATAGGATACAAATAAATTGAAATTAGATGCCGCTTAAATTGCACCTATTGTTTTATAATTTATTGTGCTATGTTTTTTTTCAGTCAAATTGATGATGTCATTTTATAGACATTAACATATACTATAATAGTATAATATCACTAATGTATATCAGTATTCAGTATTAATGTTTTATAAACTATACACATGCATGAAAGAGATGATTTCAGTTTAAAAATAAAACAATTTAAAATGTCGATTCATTGAAATACCAATTACTCACATGGCCACATACGTTTGAAACAGTAATATTTTACATTATTTTTATTTTCAGATAACTGGTACGTGGTATGTAATTGAAATCCTACAACATAAAACAAACGATAAACTATATAATGGAGAGAAATTTGAAGTACCCACTTGTCCTTCTGTTTTTCTAACACTTGCTGGTTCTGATACTGATCTCAAATTGTACTGGAATGAAGATACAGGCGACCTTGAATATCTGTTCAAAATTAAAGACCAATCATCTCCAGGATTCTGGCTGTCGTCTGGATCACAAAATGGTAATATCTAAAACCATATATATATATTATATAAAATAGGTATACAAAATGTAAAATATATAAAATATAAATACGTGGGCAAAGTGCAAACCACCGTTGAACAGGAACATTTTATGGACATTAAGTTGTTGAAGACAAAATACTACGGACAAACGTTTATTAGGAAACATTACTTAAATAGGACTATAGCTCTATGTACATGCGACTTATTCGTAATGAAACTGATGTAAATAATAAATACCATACACAAAAGAAAGTTAAAATGTGAGCATATAGTAACTTATGAGTCGTGAGTGAACGGTTTTTACCCTCCATTGACCATTGACGCTAACCGATAAGCGAGAAATTAAACGTAATAAACTTATAATTCGATTTTAATTTATTCTTAAGCCGTGTATTGTTTAATTTCATAGATGTGTATAGAAGTGCCTATATTTTTTATATTACATTATATCTACATACTATTATTATACTATATAGAGTAGGTTGAAATTCCTTTTGTGAGATACTATAAAATGAGTGCCTATATCTACTTTATGATGTCATACTTAAACGAACAATTTTGACATTTTTAAAAATAAAATATTTGGTTGAAATACATGTTTAGAATGAGTACATTGTATCGTAACTGTCAGCTCAATTGCACGTTTCGTCCTAATACTATAATGATGTTACATATTATATTATAATTATTAATGTAAAATGGTATCTATATACTATGTTGGTTGTGTGGAATGATGTTAGTTGAGTAATCTCATAGGCCACAGCACTTAAACCACAAAAGTCTTATTTTTTATAACATGTTTTAAACTAAAATTATTTTATAGTAGCAGTCAATAAGCCTTGTTAATTATTTAAGTAGAAGTATAATTTGAACTTGTATAATACTTACAAAATGGCCAACACTATACTATAGTCTTAAATTTAGGGTCCCCCCGGTGCCGGTTTTTCAACTTTTCCACTAATCTACTACCCGACACCTAATTAGGGGGGGGTGATAGGGTGTATTATATCGAAAATAATGACTTTACGGGAATAACTCTCAAACTTTGTAGAATTGTCGGATTTTGATGACTATTTTTTTATCTGAAAGAAGAAGACTTCTTACAGCCCTCATCGATCTCTGATTTTGTATTTTATTTCAAATAATTGTATTAAAAAATTGTAAAAAAATGCTTTTTATCTTGCATTTTTTTAGACATATTATAAAGTTTAGGAATAAAATATTGAAAAACACAGATCGATGCGTTCTGTAGAATATTTCCTTTTTTTTATTACCCAAATTATGAAATTTGGTTGATTCTAAAACAGTCTTTATAATATTATCCAATACCTAGTGAAACGTACAATAATAAACTAATAACTAATAACTTGTGCTCTATATACTGCGGTACACCATACATGAGTGCATTTTAAGAACTCTGCTGTTTATTTCTTCAGAATATATTATGAAGGATTTGCCGAAGGTGATATGTCAAGCTAATAGACACACAATGACACATTTGTGTATTTTAATATTATACTGAATATTAGGACACGTTTACAACCGATATTTACAATTAATTATTATGGTCGCACCCAACATATAGACATATATTATAGTGCTGGATTTATTTGTGACGCAGGGTTGCAGAAGAATTTTTAGTTTGTTTAACGGTTCAAGTAACACATTCCATTTCTTAAAATGTATAAATAAAAAATAACATGCCTATCAGGTTCATAGTTAATAATAGTAATAATAATAATAATGCAGGGTGGGAGAGAGAGAAAGTATATGGGTACAAAACCAACAAAAAAACGTTTGAAAAACCAACCAAAGAAAATGTGAAATACAAACCGAACAATTTAAAAACTGGAGCCTTGCTCATTTCATATTATGTTCGCGATAATATTATGCCTTATACTTTTTACGTTTAACCTGGACGCCGTCCGTTTTGCAGGCACCCTAGTGCAGGTGACCACCTACGACCAGTTCGCGGGCATGGTGTACGTCCGGAAGGCGATAAGCAATCACATGGTGTTGACGTTCTGCTCGCCGAACACGCAGCTCTACAGCGTAGTGTTGGCCAGGGACAAGACGCTGGACGCCAAGGAACTGAAGAGCATCGTGAACCACATGCACCTGCAAAAGTTGCCCATCACGCAGACGAAACGCACGTGTCGCAGTTCGGCGTCTACGGCCCGGGCTACCGCTTGGATGACCACCGCGTTCTGCTTGATGTACCTGGCGTGGTACCTGCGCGTCCACAAATAGGTCGCATCCTCGAGCGTCACGGGCCTATATTAAACACGTCGGGGCAAACAGACGCGCAAAAACACACACAACCAAACACACACACACACACACACATGCGAGCGCAGGGTCGGCGTCGGTCGAGGTTTGCGAGGGGGGGTGTAAATATATTATACATTTTATTAAAACAGTCGACGACTTATAAGCTCGGGAACGCTCTACAGGCGGCGTTCGGAACAATAATATTATTAGGTATATAACACTATTGTTTCCGAATGCGATGTCCGAAGCCTACGACTTTAATGTTTCATTTCGCTTAAAACTTAAAATACAATAATCAATATTATGATAATGTGCAGGTAATACCTAAGTCTTATCATACCTAGGATTTATCAAATCATTTACTACATTATATAGGTAATTAAAAATTTCGTGTACCAGCTCTTTCTACTCGTATTTGTAGGTATACTGAAGCAGTTAATCAGTGGTGGATATCGGGGGGGGGATTGGGTGGACCATCCCCGCCTTGGGATTTTCGCCACCACTATACACTATTACAATATTGGCTACAAACCGCGGACTAAGATATTATATAATAGACTGGAAACGACATGGTTGGCGGGGTCAGGGGACGGCCACCAAAAAGTTCATCACTCTGGGGACCGAATGCTTTCAGCGCTACCGGTGGTTTTATTTGGGTTCACATTTTGTATCTAAGGATGGTCTAAGATAGAATGGACTGGCATCGACTAGGTGAGGGGGTAGGGAGTAGGACTCACAACTGTCTGATAAATTCAATGTGTTATGGGACCTTAACTGTTACTGAGCGAATGGTGGTTGAATTTAAAACTATTGATTAGATATACCATATTATCTAGTCCGTAGATTAAAATTAAAACCACCATGTGTGCTGGTATCAGTGAAGGTCCCATAACACCAGACATTTGTGGTCCACCGAAATTTTTTCGATGTCAATCCATTATATCTTAGTCCCTTGTTTTATATATATGACGTTGAAAACTCTCGGTCCCCATTGCTGCCCCCCGCACTTGCCTTTTGTAAGAGAAGCTGTAACGGAATATAGATTATGTGGTATACGCGTAGTAATAATAAACAGTATTTCACCATATTCGTTCCCACACAAAACTTTTTTTATTCAATATTTTTAAATAATATTACTGCGTATTAGCCGGTATAAGTATATACGGCCATGGTGCTATAAATATTCACGGTTATTTTTGGACCCTCTAAACCTCCTTTTACTCCGATCCTGCGCACACACACAAATGACAATACTTAAAACGATAGGAAAGGAAGAAAAATAAAATCATTGATTTTATATTATATACAATATATATTATATACTCAACGTTAAAATACAAAAAAACGCATACCTTCCATACCCAACATTGCGTTGTTACCCGAACACATAATGATGACATAATAATATACCTACCTATAATATGTGTACCATGCTCAATTCAAGTTGTGCAATAATATCGTTAAAATGTATCAATTCCGTTCAATTTGTACTTTTGCTTAATTTTTCGGATCTCTTTAGTGCATAGTGATTTTGTTTTATTGCGTACCTATATTATACATGCTACAATCTACCTATAAATTATAATATTGTTTTAGTTCACAGTGTTCACACATTTACTAACGTTTAATTGGACGACTACTATTATAGCAGTACCTACCTACTATAACATTATAATTGCACAATGTTGGGTTACCTTTTTTTTTGTGTAATTTATCTTCTTAAAACTAATGTATTGTTACAATAACTACTTAGACATAATTATTATTTAATAAAACTATTTGTAAATTGAAGAAAAAGTATTTTTTTATAAGATTTTATTAAATCAAATGTTTATTACAAATACTTTATATTAATATATCTATATTATATAATATATTTTGCAGTAATCTAAGCAGCTATACAACGGCTGTGAAGTATGTTAGCTTCGAGCAAATTTGTATACCTAATTTATTCATATAAATAGTAAAGCACAATAATAATTGTATATGTACATTAACCCAAAACACTTATTGTATCTATTTGGATGAATAAAAATAGACTCAACTTTTAAAATTACCTACCTATACAACAGTAGATATAATACAAAAAACACATTTAATTATAATAATGGGTATAGCCGCAGTCTTGTTGCATCACTTGCATTTTTAAGGATTTACAGATTATATATTCTATTTATAATGAAAATATTAATCACTTATGTACAAAAATATTAAGTAATTCGATTAGTCTTTGTAATGTCTGACGAGAGGCGGTATCACAATGATTATCAGGTAAACGATGAGCGTCCAGATGGGCATAAACACGTAGTATATTGGCAACTGGGGGTTTTGATTTTCCAACTTGTAGCAAAGCGTGAGTTGGGCGATGATCTTCATCAGGCATATGACAAAAATTATGCACCTTCGACTGCCACAAAACACCGGCATCTCGGTCATCGCCTGACACGAATTGCTGTGCACGCAGGAGCATATTATGAACAGTGCCGTCAGGGCATCGTCCAACCAAATCGGCATGAATATCAGATACCAACTCTGTTTTTGTTTGGTCTGAAGCTGTATGGTGAGCAGCACCAAGAATATCACCATTGAAGCCCACGTGGTCAGTGCACGTTGAGTCAAAGCCATTCTAAAAAAAAATATATATATATAATTATTATATTGTAGATATTATATGGTACTACCTATCTCTTATAGAAATAATCTGTAAATTGTTATACATTAAATTTTTATAATATATAGTATAGGTACACGCGACGGTCAATGGTCTTGAACTATCTATTAATAAAAAAAAGGACTGTTCTTTACGAAAACAAAATTATCGCAGTTTTATTGGGTATACAAAATATTTTGAAATAGAGATGTGATTAACCAACTACTGGGTAGGTGCTTCAGTACAATACTAAATTGCTTCAAAATGAAATAAGTAAATTATTTACAATTTTATTTTCAGTCTGAAAACCTTTCTGAAGATTTGTACGTATCTATAACTGAACAAATACGGAAATCAATATAATATTTGTAGTGGATTCTAAAGGTTATCATTCTAAATTTACAAATTGTTATAGACTAATAAAAATGTTTTTCATCAAAACTTAAACACGGGATAAAAATGCTGAATAAGTAATAACTATAATAACTAATATTTGTATTAAGCTATATTAAGACTGTGGATTTTAATCAATTACAACTAAAAAACAATATTAATTTCAAATGTATGATTTATAAGCAACATGTCTTAATAATAACAATAATTTATTCGAAATTAGTAGTACAAAGATCTACTTTATCATAAATCATAATTTTGAACTTGTAATTTGTATCAAACAAAATACATATTGTTTACCATTTAGTAAATACCAGCTCACTCATAGTTTAAACAATAAATTCAAAACAAAAAAATTTCGAAGATACAATGATTTGTACTTTAAGTCTTTCACTATAATAAGAATTATTATTAATTATTTCCCAGTGTCATATTATTTACAACCATTCATAAATAACTACCTAAAATGCATAAAAGAAAATCAATTAAAACAATAAAAAACAAAATTCAGTTACATTTGCCATACAATTGACAAAGCTGATACTCAAAAATCATGTTTTTAGACTTGGGGTGCTTTGTATGAACGGGGATAAAATAAACTATAAACTATGAATAATAATGTAAAAAGCATAAATTAATGTGATATTTGAGATTGGTTTTTATTCAAAAATTATATTATAGGGGGGGGATTCATGAGGTGACTGATTTAATTTTTCACCTATTTTGGGGGTCGTAATGTTAAAAAGGTTGAGAAACGCTGCTATAGAGCACAGTTATAAGTTATAACACTATTGTACATGTACTTATATGTATAGCTAACTAACAAAATAATACAAAAATATGAGTGTGACCTTAAAAGGTATATATTCACTGTATAAATTACTCAATTCAAAACAAAAAACAAAATCTCAAGAATAGGATAAATATTTCTTTAATAAAAAACGTATAAAAATACATTAAAATAAATAATAACACATATTATTATTTCGTAAGGTATAACTATAAATATACATTGCTCATAATGTTTCAAGTTTCTATTATAATACAGGACATTTGTAATGCTGGCCGTCCTTGCAACAAAACTCTTTGCCGGTGGACAAAAGCGTGTTAATCCACGAGTCGTTGCAGTTTTTCACGAATAGATGGGCCTAGAAAAATCAAAAACATTTTTATGTAAAGACTTTTATCATACAGCGATAGGAAATTCAATAACTCACCCGTTCCTTGTACACGTCACGATCGACCGAACCGCAGATTATCGCCGGACTGTTTGGCAAGTGTTTTGCGATCTGCAGACGAGGAGAAAACAACAATATTAGTGTCATAACATATATATCTACTACTACCAGACATCCTTATCAATATTAACAATATATAGATTTACAAAATTCAAAAATATGCAGTTCATGATCCCGGTATGTACTCACAATTTCCAAACACTTGTTGGTGCAAGTCTTCACGCCCAGAGCATTACAGGGGGCTGATTCGTCTTGTTCGTGCAACAACGCGGCGTATCCGGTTGGCTGTTTTTTACTTCCCTTTGTGATTTGGCTACTCAGAAACACGCCACAAATACACGGAGTCTTTGTGTTCGACGAGGACAGTGATTGCGCGAACGGTAGTGGTTTTACCGCCGGCGCGTGATTTAACATTTCGTTAAGCTTTTGGACCGGCCTTTGTTCGTCACCGCCGTCGGATTGATCGGCGAAACTATAAAACGATTATACAATACATAGTTAAGGTTGGTTATCAATAATGGAATTTACCAATTGCGCCAAAACAAAATTTGTATTTTAGGGTCAATATACCAATTGCGCAGTTTATATTGTAGGGTCAGTGTGACAGTGTACCAATTGCGCAGCTTATAAATATTTTACGGTAAATATACCAATTGCGCTTGTATTAACATTTGTCTGGCGGAAACAGATTTAGAAATATGGTTATTCGATCTAATTCCATCAACATCAACATAAAATCACTATAATGCTTGAAAATTTAAAACGTGTTTATTGTTCAATTGATTAAGTACTGGTTAGAGTGACTGGTTATAATAGATTTTATAACAGTATCGGGAATTTTATGAAACGTAATTATTATTACGAACATTTGATCACGGGAGTATGCATTTGAGTGATAGAATAAAACAAGTTATCATTATCATACATTTCATATAATTGACGATCAAAAAGTTACTTGTTAAATGTGAAGAAAAAAATTGTTTGTTTATTTATATTAAATTATGTATTATGCATTAATACTCGCAAAAAAATCGGTTAGTGTAATCATTTATTATATAATTATAATTTATAAAATTATAACTATCTAATAACTTTTAATTAGATAGTATAAATGTTTTGAGTGCTATTGGTCTATCGACCCTACAATTTTTAGAGCGCAATTGGTATATCGACCCTAAAATGTTAAGAGTGCAATAATTTGGTATGTGAAAAGGTCATTTTAAGCACAATTGGTAAACTCCCATCAATAACAGTATACTAACATAATATAAGTAGAATACCTAATACTTTATACTATATTATTGGTAACGAAAAGAAACGAATATACGAAATGAAACCGAAAATATTATAATAATATTTTGTCGTTTCAGAAACAGTACAATACAGGACCTGACTTGACCAATAATAATACAGTAATCCAGTAATATTATAATTTATATACAGTAAAACGACTTACCAAGGCGAGATTGACCCGAGTGCGACTGCTAATGACACCATCGTTGTAGTCATCATCATCATCGTGATATAGTTTTTTGGAAGCAACAGGTGCTGTAGAATATAATACGTACACCAAGTGTGGATCGAATTTATTTTACTTGACGAACTCTTGACCGCACACTGTAAGGGAATGCGCTTGTTTTCGTTCGTAGGACGGTATTTATAAATGACGTGCAAACGACGAGAAGACTTCCTCGTGAATTGTGTTTTGTAAACACTAAATTAATGTTTAAAATATAAACGGAAACACGGTGATGGAGAACTGTTTAATTTTCGAAACGAGAAACAATACATACGGTTCAGGAAACTGGTTCGCTGCGTTCGTTTTGTAAACATTAAATTACGAGTATAATGACCAAAAAAAAATAAAAAATAAAAAATTCTATGATAACAAAACAATTATAAGGCCAACTTCACACGATACTATATTATTGTTAAGACTTGTATACCCAACAATAATGATGAGATTTCGGTATTTCACTTTTACTGCGATTTATATAGGTTCATAGTGACTTAGTATATACATCTAAAAAATGTCAACGGTTCTAACGTAATATACGAACTACGAGCATAATGTATCATAGAATATATAACGTCATAAATTATATCATTACGAGTTTACCAGGAAACTTGTTTTTAGGGTTCCGTACGGTAAAACGGAAGTCTATTACTAAGGCTCCGCTGTCCGTCCGTCCGTTCGTCTGTCACCCAGTATCTTATGAGCCATAAAAGTTAGAAAGTTGAAATTTTCACAGATTATGTATTTCTGTGGCTGCTATAACAACAAATACTAAAATTCCTAAAATATATAATATAAGCAATGTTGCCAATATGTTTATATATGATAGTAAGGGACCCTTCGTGCGCGAGTCCGACTCGCACTTGGTCGGTTTTTATATACATACAAATTAAAATCCAGTCGAGAATTACGATTTTAAAATGTAAGTGTAAAAATCAATAAATTGTTTTTTAATATTTTTAAAAAAACAAGGGAAATTCTTTCATTAGGATTTACCCCAATTATATAGGGTGGACATTAACTCGTTTCTATTGTCATTTGTCGGTGAAAAAAGTCGGTGAGAGTGAGCTGGCAGTCACAAGTCACGATTACTACTGTCTACCAACGATATAGTCACTAGCACACTAGCGATAGTGCTAGCCATGTCGATTAAAAAAGCGATTGCACTTTTCGGAGAATAAAATTGCCAGCGAGTGGCGAAAAAACTATAGGTAGGTCACCTTTATTTGGGGGCGACCTCGCTGTGTAGCTGCGAGAATATTCGAGGGCCAGGTTGTTAGTGAATTCGTTTATATTAATAAAATCAACCCTTTAATTACGTTAGAACATTTTAGGCGGGTAAGGGTTGTCAACTTGTCGTTACTGGTTAGGAATTACTTGACATGCACCTATACAACTATTAGGTACCTATGCATTTATAACTTGAATATAAACTGTATAATAATTAATATTATAGAATATTTAATACAGAACAATAACACCATCTTCATTATATTAGAGTAAGTATTATATTAATAAACTATAAAATATAAATTTGCACGCTTAATTTTAAAATGTTAACAGTTAAAAAGAGACTAAATTAATCAATCCGGGGATTTGGACATAATAATATAACACACATTTTTGTTTTTTAACTATCTATTTTAAACTGTATTATTACACGTCTGATTTTTAGTTAGACGTTTATTGATAACGTCCGCTGTGCCTTCCATGACTACCTTGTCCCCGACACTACACCAAAATCCACACCTCACAAGCTTTCTTATGGTCTGTATCTCAACTTCGATTTTGACTAGATCGCCGGCATAACAAGCATTTGGGAACCTCAGGGTCTTGGACACGACAACCGTGCCGTCACCAGGTAACTTGGTGCCAATCACCCCGGATACCAGACCTGCCAAATAAATGCCGTGCACCAATGGACGATCACCAGAATGTATGGGATTAGTGTCACCACTCAGGCGAGCAAACTCGTTGATATCCGATTTATCGACTCTTTTCGTTATCACTACACGATCGCCCACCGTAAGCGCTCTGGTGGACTGAAATCGTCTACTTAGTCGAGTCAGCATGACGAGCGATATATTTGTATATAATAATGATAACTATGAAATATATTCGTTATATTTGACTATATAGTATAAGTATATATATATAGGTATGTAAGTACTTAGTTATTCGGGCGGGCACTATGTGTTGGACGTGATCGCCGTTTGAATGTCGTGTTCCGTACAGAAGTCTGTCAAAAAAATTTTAGCCACATTCCTCAGCTTGGGGTTTTCGCTCTGAGCGTGCGAGAGCATATAACCAACAATGGACGGGTTTACGATGTCTGTAAAAAAAAAAGTAAGAAAAAATATAGTAAACTGGTTTTAAAGATTTTCTTTTGAAGCCCCTTATAAATATGATACAATGTACTAAATTATAATTTACAATTGTTATTTTTTATTTATAAGTTCTAACTTTCGAAGTCACCTGCGGTATAAAAAAAATATTTTAATGGCATTAGGTAGAGCCTATATTGGTTTTTTATTTCATAAATCCAAGGTTTTGAGCTTGTAAAACTTCAAATTTGTTTTTACATTCTTTGGAAATAGATACAATAGATAATTTGTTTTACGCAAAAACATAATACTATATCATGTTATATTATAATAACTCAGAAATTGAGAAAATATTTTTGAATTTTATTTTACTAATATTTTTAAAATATTAATTTGTTAGTCATTATAACTATAAAAACATAAACATATACTTCGATTATTTTTATTTGAAAATCATCTATGTATATTACTGTAAGATATTTATTTTTAAATGAAAATAGACGTACCTACCTACGTATATTTTGAACCAAAATTGAACGTAACATAATACAATGTAAGTATAATACACGGGGTACCTATTATACGGATAATTTATTTATTTGTAAGAGAAATTGTGCAAAGAGATATGTAGGCGTGGACTGGTTAAGGTGGCAGGTGGGTGAACTCCACTTGGGCCTGGCGAAAATTTGGGCTGCTTGAATTCATTTGGGCCGATAACTTAAAAATAATTTAATAATAAGCCCAAAATGCAAACCGAATTTACTGTTTGGGCCAATTTGTATTCCCAGCTCACTCCTGGAGAAAGGTCACCATTATAAAAATCATGGTTTAGTTAATATTACCTAATGCTTTTTTTAGTAAGTATTATGATATAATTTGTTAGAAATTGGGGTGAATATTAGCAAGACGCATATCCGCCTTAGACGCATAAGCCAAATATTAAGAAGGGAATGTAATTAAAACAATTATTTTAAGAAATGGGACCATTATATTATTTGTTTAATTTTTTATAAATCTCCCACGAGTCATGACTCTTGACGATAACTTTTTCTTGTTTCATAATTCATGGAAATAAATAATGTTGGGTAGTTTTTGACTGGTGGCATTAAATATGATAAAGACAAGCTTATCCTTTTATTTAGTATGTATGAAATATGAATGTATGATAATTTATAGAAATGTGTAAAAGTTAGAAAATAATTAGTAAAACTGTTTTAAAAATGATCATACATTTTTTTTTAATGTTTGTAAGACATTAGTTATGACAGTTATGTAATGTATATCTTACTGTTTTAAACAAACATTTAAAATAATAAATAAAGTTGAAATTGACATAATGTCACGTTTTAAGAAGAAGCCACACCCAAATTTGTTGTCTCCGTCTTACAAGTGCGTAACAAGTTAAATTTACGTTCAGCAGTTCACGTTTAGCTTCGTAAGTTTTAATAAAACCGAGAAAAAAATACGTGTGTGGCGTCCTCTTATGATGAAACATAAGTCCTCTTTATCATTTCTTCTTTCAGGAATAAAATAATTAACTTTACCTATTTCAACTTCTTAAATTAATTAATAAATAAAACATAATTAATACACAAAATATTTAAAATTATTTTAATTGTTTGAATTTGTCAAACCAGTTAACCAACATTTTTCACAATTTAAAATATACCTTATAATTGTCTCAAATGTAATCTCAACATAGGTGACGATATACCTACATACCAGAATCAATACTATAAGCGACCAGAGGGGGACAAGGCGGCAAGCTGGGGCATTTGCTCCCTGGCTTTTCAGAAATTATTTTTAAAATTAATATATTAAAAATAAAAAAAAAGGTGCTCTGCTCTGTACAGTAGGTTACAAGTGGGTCACTGTATAATGGATGGTATTAAATTTGAATTCAATGATATAATATCAGTGTATAAGAAAAACGATTCTGAGCGAAAACGGTTAGTCTGCACCTATGATATTACTAAGTATATTTGATGATACTAAGGTGAATAAAGTAATTTATATATAACCTATTTACGTAGAATCTTGTTTTAAATTTTCAATCATTAGCTATAAAAGTTGAACATTTTATAAATTTTTAACTATAAAATTATTATTAAATTTTAAATGTGATACATTTTGTCAAAATTTGAACTTTAAATGCTTATAAAAAAAATTGTGCTTATGTATTTTTAATATTTTTCAAGTGTTATTGTAACAATATATCAGGAGTTTTGCATTAAATTTTCACGCTTTTTTACCCAACAAATAAAATATTATTGATATTTATAGAAAAAAAAATTGAAAAAATTGAAAACTGAAAATGTCCGTAAATAGCTCTAAAAGAGTCAAAATATTTTCAAAATTGTACAGTGTATAGAAAATGTTAATATAAACATTCAGTGACATTTTCATGTATCTACAGTTATTCGTTTTTGAATTACAACAAAATAAGGAAATCACTACATGAGAAATCGAGTGAATATCCAATGTTGTAAAAATTTGAATTTCAAACGCTCATAAAAATTTAATTTGATTTTCTTATAGACATTTTTTTTTTGATAAAGGTAGACAAACTTATGAGGAATCTTGCATTACATTTTCATATCTTAGATTTAAAAAGAAAATTTTTATGAATTTCCAACTCGAAGTAATTTGCAAATTTTCGTCATTTTCACGTATTTTGTCAATATTTGGAATTTAAATGCTTATAAAAAACTGTGACTAAGGATTTTTAATATTTTTCATCTGTCTTTGAAACAATATATTAGGAGCCTTCTATTAAATTTTTAAGCTTTTATACCCAACAAATAAAATTTTATTGATATTTATTATTTATAGAAAATAAAACTAAAAATGTCCGTGAACAGCTCAAAATAACTCAAAATATTTAGAAAATTTTATCATGTATAGAAAATGGAAATATAAACAACCAGTAAAAATGTCATGTATCTACGGTCATTTGTTTTAAAGTTACACCAAAAACCAAAGTCGATTTTCTCAAAAACAGATTTTGTGTAAAAATTCCCGTTTTTCCTTCATTTTTCTTTTGTTTTTCACGGCGCTTTTAAAAAGTACTGTGAAATTTTTACTTTTGACCCCCCAAAGTACCAACTAGATTCACTTTCCTATCAGAGAAGATACTTTTGAGGAAAATCCAAGCACTTTTACTGTCCTAAAAAGTGATGACAGACACAAAAAAAAATTAAAAATTAAAAAAAAACACACATCATTGTAAAATTAATACATTCATCGTTCCACTCAGAATCTTATATAAGCATGTAAATAAATTACTCTATAACAAGTTAAAAGTGATTATACAAAAAATGTCCCAGGTTTAAAAAATTCCATTAAGCCAAGTTAACAATTAATATTATATTTTATGTAATAAACTTGCCCCCTCCTATATCGTGGAACGGTGAATGTATTGATTTTACAATGATGTATTTTTTTTTTTTTTTTTGATTCATCAAGCAAATTAAAAGTGATAGCTACTAAAATTGCTCTGCACACTCTACTTAAGAGTTGTGGACACGCATATAGTACTACCAAAAATCATAATGTAATATTTTATTAATTATTAAATGAAAAATAAAATTATAAAATCGATAGTTAATAATATTGAAGGGATCAAACACATATTTTAGTTATAATATATTAATAAACATTTTTAGATTTAATATCTACCTCATAGGTACATTCAAATATGAATGTTAATTATTTAAATGTAAGTCCAGGACTTTATAGCATTATATTTTATATTCACAAGACTTACATAGATTATTATATGATAATAATTTGCTATCAGAAGTACAATTTAGATGGTGATGATAACATTCTAGATTTATAACAACTTAATATATTTATACATGTTTAATGTTGATAGGCACAACTAGATTATATTTTTGTGTTCCTAGTTGCATGTCTCTTAGATAAATTTTCAATTTTTAATTTTTATTTTCATGTTAATTTAACTGTGATAATGTAGGATTTAAATCATAGACCAATATATCAATATATACACATTCTCATAGAAGCTTTACATTATATAAAATATATAAAAACAAATAAAATATAGGTTCCACTTTAAGTAAAAATACTATAATTTACTATCCAACAAATATTAAATACTTAACAACAGATATTTTACAAAGATAATTTTTAAATTAGATATTAATTTATCATAAGTAATTATCTCAAATATTAAGTAAATGATTTAAAAAATATGAAATTCATTTATATAAAACAATATAGCTTAATTATCAGAGTAATTTTAAGAAATTGTATATGTATATTAAATATTCTACATTGTATATCTAAATTTACTCAATATGACTAAACCGTATTACATTTTCCACCAATTGGGAATAAATGTCTTAGCCCTGAACCCACCAACAATTAACCGTTCAGCTTTCAAACATTCATCAATTCTTAATAGCGCAATACCAATTTTTCCACACAATCCTCTTAACTTGCCAGGTGGTCTTTTAACACCCAAGTCAGATTCATTGTAAATATCAGCATCCAAATCCAAACCAGTGGGTGTATCTTCAAAAATTAAAGGCATTATTCTTTTCCTTGTAACTCCAGTGTGATGAGTCCTTGCTGTCAGTTCTTGTCCAACATAGCAGCCTTTATTAAAGCTTATACCATTTAAATAATCACAGTTCATTTCTAATGGAAAAGATTGGCCTTTAAGTAATTCGCTGCCTTCAGCAACACCATTTTTATACCTCCATTGTTGATAAGTAAATTTGTTATCACTTTCGTCCAAAAATATTTCATTTCTAATACCTGAAGTCTTATCAGATATAATTCTTTGACCTAAAATAGGCAATCGTGGGTCATTAAAAACGCTAACCGAATTAAGTTTCATGTCCATAGGTGTAGAACTGAATAACGCCCAAACACTGGTATCATCTAATACATTAATATTGATTTTTCTTCGTAGTAGATACATTCTTAAGTATTTGATTAAGTCACTAGCAGTCTCTTTTTCACATTCCAGTAGTATATGATCATCTACTTTATAAACCAAACAATCATATAAAACACGGCCTTTTGAATTCAATATCATTGTGAACAAAGATTTCTCTGATTTTAGTCTGAAAATATCATTGGTCATCAAACCCTGGCAATAATCATACATCCCTTCACCTTCGATTTTTATTAGGCTTTTATGGCTCAGAAGTTCTAACTTAGGTTTGAATGTAGTTGTAGAAAATAAGCGTGCTAACTTCATTGGAACTCTCATTGTTAAAAACCTTAGAAAAACATATAGTACCAACTAATTAATAATAATTTATTTGTTCCAATATTAAGAGGATGTCACACTCGCATATTATAATGTCTCCATCTTATGGCCAGTTGTACCGTCTACGGTTAAACTACGATTAAGCTTAATCAGCTGATAACAGATATTTAACCGGGCAAATTCGGTCGATGATACTCCGGTTAACTTTCATCAGAGATACAACTGGCCCTTACACAAGTACGACATAGACAAAACGAGTTTACGCAGTCTGAGTAGAACTTGCTCAATTTTGGTTTTATAGTAAAAATGTCTATTATAAAATTGAATTGTGACAATATTTCTGAAGGAAAGTCGTTGTGTTTTTTTTTTAAATTTAAACTGGAAAGTTAAAGGTATTTTAAAAATGTTTGAATTTTTTCTTTTTCTAAATGATATAATAAACGTTATATTGGGTACAATGGAAAAAACGCAACGACTTGCCCTCAGAAATATTGTCACAATTCAATTTTATAATAGGTGGTTTTACTCTAAAACCAAAATTGAGCAAGTTCTACCCAGACTGCGTAAACGCGTTTTGTCTGTATTGTACGTGTAAGATGTAAGATAGGGACAACACATGCAGGTGTGACATCCTCTTAACTCTCATATAGTATGCGGTCTAAATCTATACACATATTATATACAAATAACAATTAAAAAGTACTAATTTTTTTTGTTTTTAATTTTAAATAGATTAACTACAAATTAAAAGTAACTAAAAATGATAATAAATACTACAACACATAACTTAAATATTAACTAACATTATTTGATGAAGTAAGTTATTCTAAGAACAAAATTAAATAAAAAATATAAAATAAGCAAATACCGCATACTACATATTATAGACCTTAAAATGTATGAATCATTTTAAAAATCATTATTTAAATCCATGTTAATTAAAGATTTAGAATTTATAAAATAAAATAAAAATTATAAAAAATCTTACCATATACTATATAGTACAAATACAATATTACATATAGAGCTTATTTATTATAATGTTTAAAATATGAAAACTAAATAACCTAAAGAAAAATATTTTTAGTAGCCTAACATCTTATATATCATATAATAAAATAATACATTTATGTATGAAGAACATTAAAATATTGTTTGAAGAAGATTTTTATACACAGACCTACATTTACATATGAATCTTTTTAAAAATAACAAAACAAAATAGTTTAATAAGACATTTCTACAATTATAAAACTCATACCTATTACTCATATTAGTTTAAATATTATATGAAACAATAATCCTACAAATAAATATAACACAGCTAATGGCCATAGTTGCCGAAGCTTAAGATCAATAAAAAAAAAATAAATAAATATAAATTTAAAATTATAATTATGGTCTTACTAAACAGAAATTAGTATAGTATTTTATATTATTCGATACACATTTAAAATGTTTAAAATATATTTGAGATAATAAAATTTAAATCTGACTCTTAACTTTCATAATTTTAAACATTATTAAATAAAAAATTTCTATTTTTAAATTGTTTGATTATATTATCTATACTAAATAAATAAATAAATAAATACAATATTATAACACAGAATGTTGAAATATATATTTAAAATAAGGTAGTATAGTATATCTGGGATAAATATATTATTATTTAATAATTATAATTATATACTAAAAATTAAACTAAAATTAAACCCAGAGTATAAAAGTTGGTATAGCTTCCTGTCAAGCCTATAGCTATACTCTGTTCCACGATGAAACATCCCAGGTCTGCTAATCCTCCTGCGTCATTCTGCTGTCGAAACCGTTTCTCCTAAGACAGGGTGTAGTGTGGGGATGCACAGAAAAACTGATTTTGGTTGTTGCATGTTCTCTCGTGGAACAGATTACAATAAATTTTCCATCAATAGTTTTATTTGTATGAAAGAATAACTTAACACGTTTTTTGTGGATCACATTTAAGTATACTTGTCGTGACACTGTACAAATTGGGGTTTCTTAAAAATTGAAAAATTAAAATTGTGATGTTTGACTTGCACATACTTATTAAATAATACTTATAGAAGACACTAAAAAAAACAAATAGTTTAATTGTAACCCTGATTTTAGTGAATTCAATAACAAGGTATTAATAGGAAGTCGTACCCAGATATTATACATACTCAGAATTTACTTAAAAATTTAAATATTGTTAAAAAACCAACAAGAGAACACAGATAATGTTCATACATTTTTCATGGTATTTTACATTGTATTAGGTATACAGTCCTATACTTTATAAATTATAATAAATATATATTCGTACAATATCTAATCTAATTAAGCCAATTTATTTTGATTAACATATAGTAATAACCCGGGTACACAAGTATTTTCAATTTAAAATATTTATTATTTATATATAAAAACAATTAATCATAAGCAATAATTTATATTATCAACAAATATAAAACAGTTACTAAATGGTTTCATGTTATTTTATAATGCTATTGATTATTAAGATAACCAATATTACCTATATACATTATACATATTTCACTCATTTCAGAATATTATTTTGAGTAATTTTTTATTTATAAAATTAAATAAATCCCAGTTTATTATACTACCCATTTATTAATATTGGAATTATTCAGTCATGTTAATGCAAGATGTTTAAACAGATAAAATATATTAATAAGCAACTATCGACTAGATATTCTTAACACTAATGAAGTAATAAGTATAATGGCAGAATGAATAATGTCAATATAGCAGACCGCATACAACATGAATAACATTAAGATAAAGTTAACGATATGAAATTATTCATTTTTAATTACCTGTTTTTATTTCTGGTGCATACAAGTACATAAGAGTTGTAATACAGGAAAGTGTTATATTATCATCAGCTTTACTCAAATTTTTTTCTATATTTTGGATACCGCCATTTCCAATAACATAATCTTTATTGGCAGGATCTGAAAATATGTAAAGATGAAAAAATATTTAGACAAATGAAGAATAATTGAAAAATAGAATGTTAAATTATACATGAAATTTTTTTTTTTTAGTATAATAGTATAGTTCCGAGTATAGAACTTTGAAAATTGTAAATTAAGTATTTACTTAACATTACATTTTTCAGTCCTCCTAAATTCTTTATAATGTGATGGTATTATGTTGAAAAAGTAAATATCAATTATATAAAAACAATAAAATTATAGACTATAGTAAGGAAAAAGGTAATATCACAAGTAAAATTGCACATTGAATCTATAATCCCAAAAGTTACAAACAAATTGTCTAAAATATGATTACATAGAAATAATCACTTAGAATCACTCGTTGTTATTTCATAAACTAATAAAAATAATTCTTGTGCTAATGAGTTTTTTAAGTTCTCAGAAAGCAGGAACATTATTATGATAATGCTAAAAATTACTAATATTACTAGGCCCCAAAATAGTAACTAGGATATCACACATGAATTCTTAAACTGGTAATGTCCCAGAAAATCAGGGACGATTGGCCAACCATGACTATAATATGTATTAATTTACTGGAACAATAAAAATACAGTACAAGGGCTTACTAATTAATGAAATCAAAAATACTATACAATAATTATTACCATTGACTAGATTACAGAGACCAGCGGCTGCAAAAGCTATCAGTTGGTTGTCGTCTGAAGTTAACTGTTCTATGAACAAATCGATTACCTTCTGAGTACGTATGTGCTGATAATTGACAGGATCGTATGCAAAGTTAGCAAGGTTGGCTAATACTTGATGCTTAGAGTCTAAATAAGTAAACAAATACATTATAATACATCAGTAGGTTTGCTGAAGTTGCGGTTCGTTGGGAAGTCAGAAGTATTTTATACCTGCACTGTTGGTTTTTCGGAACTCCTGAACGAGCTGTTTCAGGAACTCTGGCCGGTTTATTCCATCGGCCGGTGTGCGCTTGAGCAAGTCCTGTGGTTTGTGAAACATATATAGACCACGGCGACGGGAAACCGTGAATGGTGAAATGTGAATGCCTAAAGCCTAATTAAAGCCTACATTAAAATAATCGAATAATTATAATAAAGTGCAAACCCGATGATTACACGGGCGGCGGTGGAGTAGCGCAGTAAAGTTATGTAGCGAACGTACAAATATCCGAATATGTACGATAAGAAGAACTATGTTATCACTTATCACCAGTCGTTTTGTTGTTTTGCCTTATCATGGTTAACCACAACTCGGTAATAACCAATATCCTGTGATAACTGCAGTACTGATAATAACAGAACTGTAGTTCGTAATCGTGCGACCGTCGTGAGCGTGCACGGACGGCCGGCAGATAGCAGTCCGGTCGACTGCCGCAACCACTTCCGTCGGTTTGAAACACCGACCCGCCACCAACTGTTGAAAGTTCATTTTCGCTACGCCGACAGACGTGCGCACTCGCCGCACGAATACCCAACGTCCGCACTAGTCTCACACAGAATTTCTTCTTCATTTATTCTCCCCTTTTTTTTCTTTTTCTCTATCTCTTTTTGTTTTGCTTCATTTCGACTGTCGTTGCATCGTCACTTAATTAATTTCGAATTACCGCTGCAGAAAGTGCCAGCAACTATTCTAATATCACAATCCACTTAAACAAAACACAATATAAATCTGTTTATTAAATAAATCTGTGTATCGCGACTACGTGAAAATAATATATTACCGTCAACGACGACCAATTACCTCGCGCATCATCACCTACGGCTGGCGAAACAATTCACGGACGAGCGCCGGAAATGGAATGCAAGTCAGAGTTCAGAGCGTCCCCTCGCCGGTGGTAAGTTGAATATTATTTTTGTTTTTTCAACCAGTAACCCCCCCCCCCCCCCGGGGTACTTGTCTCGGTCCGTTTTGTACCTGTTTTGTACACGCCTATCGTAATACTACCTATGTTTATAATAATGTGTTGGTGTATTAAGTGATTATTACTATTACTGATTGCTTTTTCTCGTTTTGCGTTTGTAGGAACTTGTTGACTCTAAATTGTTATCTCTATTTATCCGAAACTTCATTATATAATATATATATTTTTTTACACGTTCGAATAATTACGTACCACAGATATACATAAACGATGAACCCTGTACGGCCTATTTTATTATTATAAATTGTAATCGATATTATATTACTATGCACCTATTTTATACCTAGGTATTATATTATCTGAAAGCTGTTTAATAATAATGTTCAGGGTATACGTTAAAGTTGTCATCTTAATTGTTTATAAAAATACCCTTTAAACGGGTACATGGATTTTGGACGGTTGATTAAGTATTATGTACACACTCTCCATCGTTGGGGTGGTTGTCGAACGTGGTTTCGGCGGTTATTTTTAGCGGAAGCGTACGTTTCCACCGGGTGATTAACCCCCGGTTTCGATAAGACAAACGCCGGGCCATCGCACGCGCTTGTCGTGACGTGCGCGTGTGTGACCGACCTGCGTGCGACCACCAAGACAAGTCTTGAGGCGGCCCGGTTCTCCGCTCAGGAGCAGTCCTGTTCGGGTTGGTTGTGCCGGCGCGTGTTGCCCTTGACACAAACTCGATCCGCGGCGGCGGCGGAAGATGGGTAGGTAGGTAGGCACTATAGGAGGTACATACATACTCGCATCGTCCATCCCGTCAGGTACGTTGACCGGACCGGACGCCCGTCGTACGTGTAAACGCACCCGCGGCCGCCGCCACCGCTTCTGCTGCTGCACGTGTCGACGAAACTTAACGGGCGGCACACAACACCGACCGGGCGCCGTCGTCGCTCTACCCCGTCGGTAAAAATGTATTTATAAATACTACCGACGATTGCCAAAAGGCCAAGGGAATGAAATATAACATAATAATATGTATATATATATTACAACAATATTTTATGTTTTCGAAATTTACTCTCTACTTCATCAGCTCTTTACGCGTCTTTCTTTCTCGATTCGCGCGCGTCCTTCGTCATCGTTTAATATATTTATTCGTTTTGTACGGCCGAAGACCAACACACCTCGGCCCATTAGCGGCGCACGGCGGTCGTTAGCTCGCATTTCTCCTCCTTTTCGCCGTGCTTGTGCTGTTTTTGTGATCGCCGCGCTAACGACTACGTCTCGGTTCACGTATACTTGTGCGTGGACGACGTGTGCATATTCGGATTAATTATTAATACTATTATTACCACATTTATAAATTGTTTTGTGTCGTCGATGCAGCCCTGAAACCTCCCCCCACCCCACCCGGAGGACACAAGTACGTCGGAATGTGTCGTCGTCGTAGTTAACGACGCCGCAGCCCTTCAACGTGTGTACATAATAGTAATTAATAGGTACGTCACTTAACGAATTCTTTTGTATGTTAAGTTGACAACACTTAAAAAAATATTAACATTTACTAACTACTAGAGAATAATATAATGAAATATATGAGTTTCTTTACCCTTAGCAGTTCCACGACGCGTGTATTATTATTTATTAATGTTCGATAGTTAAATATTTATCAAACGGACTATGAAACGAGCATTATTATTATGATTTACTTCCTATAAGTGGTTCGGGGAAAAACAATAGCAGACGCTCGTTATCGAGAGGGGAGTCGGAGAGACCACAGGCCCAACACCAAATGTCATACATTATAATATTGTAATTGTAGTGTGTTGGCTACACGGCACGCTTTTCTTTTGTCAATTTTGAGTTTTTACAGCTCTTAAATTTGCTCTTTCGGGTTTTATTCTCGTTTGATTACATTTTCGGAGCGACTTTGTGGTGAGCTAATCGAAAATTAATAGAAAGACCCGGTGCCGGGAAAGATAAGCGAGCCTTATGAGTTGTGACTCACGGGGAGATGGAAAGAAATAACATTTGTGCAGTGTCCTCGGAACGGAGTTTCAAATATCATTACTAGTGTTACTACGTCCTACAACAGCCCGCCAACATTTTTATTTGTCTCGTAAAATCAGAATGTGTTGTTGATAAGTGTTTGTGTGCCTGAAAAAAAAACCGTAATTAATATCCTCTGCCGTGTAGGTCCCACGCGAGCGAGTGGGGCGGTTAAATTCACTGGCGAAAACGCCGAGTGTTTTATTTTTTATCGCAGAAAACCCAACTAATACGATGATAGCGACGACAACCGGGCCGGCTGAACCCCGATGACGATACTCCATCAGCCACTACAATGCACATATAATATTATGTATCGTTAAATACTTGTAGAGCGTTGTTGTATAACCACATATATATAATATTATGATATTATTTTCTGCCGCAGTGTTCGCCCTGTATTATAATAATAATAATAATAATATAATTATGCGTCGACTCGATGACGACTACGGCGGTGGCGGTAGTGGTAGTGGTGGTGGTGGTGGTGATGATGATATCGCCGCCGCGTTAAACGCGTGTGAAGCACGTCGAATACGGCCAGCAACGGCACTACGGCAGGCTTATTAAATATACACTGCGCGCTCGCTCGTTCGTTCCCCGATAGGGCAACTGGTCAAAGTGCACAACTATTATTGTTGAATATTACGCGACCGCGCGCTTGTGATGTGTGTGCGTGTGTGCGCGCGTGGCGCGTGCAACACAACCGCGCTATAATATTATGTATATAATAATATAAAATATAATACTCCGCGACTATAATATTATTATACTATCATGCACACACAGCTCACTATAGGGGAGAGGCCGCGGCGGCGTGTTCGGTTAGCCGCGTTGCCATATCGGCTCCGGTGACCGGACGGACCACGGCAGTGTAGAACAGCAGATAATTCGCTGTAATATTAAGGACGAGGACGAAAAAATAGCGACGCTCGCCCGTAGTGACGTGCCCCGAGCTGTTTGTAGTAGTAACCCTTCGACGGCGAAGACAAACGTTGTTGTTGTTGTTTTAATAATTGTTGTACTACGGTTTCCGTTTCCAATCATCGGGCCGCAGCTTTTCTCGGGAAGCTGCGATGATTGTTGTAACCACGAGCGACGGTAAATACGTTTTACGATCGTCGTAATAACCCCGAACGCCGGCGGGGATTACACGCTAGCTAGCTAGTGTAATCGCTCGGTGGAACGTAGTCTCGATAAACGCGATTTAGTTGCACTTAGGTCGTATGTTTTTCTTTATTTTGTTCTATTCCCAATCAATCATAATATTATTATTATATATCATACGGTCTTGTAGTTTTTAATAATAGCTTTTCGAAATTCGACATTTACGTTGCACGTTTTTTAGCATCACCACCTTACAACGTGGTGATGTTTCTGATATTCAAACGAAGCAGACTGAAATACATAACTTTTTATCTCCCTATATAGTATCTGTTACATGTATTTGAAAACCTCTGTGATGTGATAAATAACATTTATTTATTTTACAATGTAGGTACACGTAATATCTTTGAAAATAACTACACTGTGCAACAATTTGGTGTTCAAAAAATATTTCTAGTTATAGCCTTATAGATATACTTGAGTATATATAATATTTTCCTTAGCAGTAAAATATTCTAATCAAAAATTATCTTACTAGTAATCCGAGTCATTTTGATTAATGTGTAGTTTTATAATATGGTTTTTATTATATTATTTATTTACAATTTTGATAATAATCTTTATCTATTGAGTTTATGATTTACTAGTTTTTTATTCGTTGATAATTTGGTACCATATTCATATTCATATTATTCATATAAATATAAACATATAATAATGATCTTTCATCTAGATGTTTCATTAGTTCAAAATATTTTATCTTTTATATTGCCTAAACGTCTAACCGTTTAAGTTATTATATCTTCATATAACTACCGATAAAAATACAATATTTTATAACATGTCCTAACTCCTAAAGTAAATAATAATTGGTGCATAAAAATTATCATGTTCAGTTTATAAATTACAAAAACATTTATACTTCATATAATTGCTAAAACTAGAGAAAAAACAATGTCTATAGATGATTAGGTACAATTTT